CACCCTGTAGTGGACAAATGACCTCACCCTGTAGTGGACAAATGACCTCACCCTGTAGTGGACAAATGACCTCACCCTGTAGTGGACAAATGACCCTGTAGTGGACAAATGAGCTCACCCTGTAGTGGACAAATGACCCTGTAGTGGACAAATGAGCTCACCTCGTAGCGGACAGACCTCCACGGCAAAGAGGCGGGGCCCAAACTCCTTGTGTCGGATGAGGTGGTCAAAGTTCCCCTCCAGGTCGAAGCACTGGACACGCCCATTCTCCCGGTCAGCCACACACAGCTGACCCGTGCCCTCTGACACCGTGACACTGTGGGGGACGTCAAACGTGCCGGGGGGTGGCGACACACCTGCACAGACACACCGGCACACGCACAGGTCAACACTGACAGACACTTCGGCAGACACACAGGTTAATAGAGACAGACACACTGGCAGACGCACAGGTCAAGAGTGACAGACACACCGGCAGACGCACAGGTCAAGAGTGACAGACACACCGGCAGACGCACAGGTCAAGAGTGACAGACACACCGGCACACGCACAGGTCAACACTGACAGACACTTCGGCAGACACACAGGTCAATAGAGACAGACACATCGGCAGACGCACAGGACAAGAGTGACAGACACACCGGCAGACACACTGGTCAAGAGTGACAGACACACCGGCAGACGCACAGGTCAACACTGACAGACACACCGGCAGACACACAGGTCACGAGTGACAGACACACCGGCAGACACACACAGGTCAAGAGTGGCAGGCACACCGGCAGACACACAAGTTTCGACTCATGGACACACAGACACCCCAGGAAATGCACATGCACCGAGGTCACACTCACAGACGTTTTAGTAAGAGTTTTACGGCACTTGCAACACAACAAGGTCATATAAGTGAGGAAGATTACAGACGTTACAAGAGACAGCAACAAACACAACAAAGAAGGAGAGATAAAGACGATAGATGTTTGATAGGAAAGAAGGAGGAGAGATAAAGACGATAGATGTTGCATAGGAAAGAAGGAGGAGAGATAAGGACGATAGATGTTGGATAGGAAAGAAGGAGGAGAGATAAGGACGATAGATGTTGCATAGGAAAGAAGGAGGAGAGATAAGGACGATAGATGTTGGATAGGAAAGAAGGAGGAGAGATAAGGACGATAGATGTTGGATAGGAA